AAAAAAAAAAAAAAAAAAAAAAAGTGACAGAGGTTCTAAGGCTATATGAAGCCCAGGAAGGGTCAATGAATGCGTTCTTTTCCTTTTTCCTCTTTTTTCCTATGCTGGGTAGTCATATCTTTGCCTTTGTCCCTCAGAGTCCTCATCGTCTTATTTTCTATATTATTTCCAGTACTAAGGTTCTTCCTATCACTCCATATGTCCGCTCTCTCCCAGTCTTTTATACTCAGTCTTTTACTTCAATCCTGTAAGAAAATTTGGGACCACAGAGCAAAATTTAATGTACATTTTTTTAAATGCCTGACTTAGCTCTCTGAAGTTAGAAGTCTGTTTTATTCAGCATCTAACACACACTAGATGCTCAGCAGGCATTTGTTGAGTGAGTAATGAACAAATGAATGGTGTTTTGGGGTCAGTTCTTTTTTGGAGTCGAACTACTAGAATGAAGAGCAAAATTGACCCTAGAGTAGGTGAGGGTAAAAGACAAGTTAGGAATATGATAACTATAGCAGTAGGTGGGGCAGCTGAATGAATCCTCTTGCCCCTTTTTTCTTCCTAACACCATCTCTTCTTTCTCACCGTAAGTTGAGAAAAAAAGTATTAAGAAAATAAATGAAATTGAAATTTCATTTTCTCTTTTTTATTTAGGATGTGATTAGGCTGCCAGTGACAGAAACCCTGATATAAAAGTTCTTAAACAGGAAGGTTTGCTTTCTTCCCTGCAATTGAAGGCAATCCAGGACTGGTTTAGCAGCTCCATAGTCATCAGGAACTCAAATCCCTTCCCTGTTGTTCCAACAGTATCAAGATGTGGCTTCCGTCTCCAAGACAGCTCCCGCTCTGGCCATCGCATCCACATTGCAGACAGAGGAAGAATTTACTGGGAGAGTGAGCATATGCTTTCTCACCTTAGTGACATTCACTGTGCACACTCCATTCCCTTTTATATCTCACTGGCCAGAGCTTAGTAACTTGGTCACACCCAGCGGGAAAACTGGATAATATGGTCTTCATTCTGAGTGGCAATGTGCCCAGCTGAAAATTTGAGCTTTTATTAACCATGGATGAAGGAGAGAATAGATGCTAGGGATAACTACCCATTTCTACAGTGTTGACCAGCAGATTTTCTTGTAAATATATCAATCATAAAAGATACTCAAAGAATTGATAAATAAGAGATGATATTCAATATTTAAAATATAGATTTAAAATATAGATTCTCTTAATATGTAAAATCAGTGAGTGTAAATTTATTTATTTACAGATACTTAGTAAATATTGTAATTGAAAGAAGTAATTATACCATTACAAATACCAAATTTTAAAAAGTACATCAATACCTAATAATTTTTATCTTAAATACATATTATTCAAGCCCGAAACATGAAGAAAAGGAGTAAAAGTATGGGTGTTTCACAAATGCTGTGCTAAATAATTAATTTGTATTCCAAGTAAGACAGGACAGCTGGTTCAATGTACTATAGTTCTTGCTAGGTAGGTCCCACAACTAATATTTACTGACCACTTACTATTAACCACTCACTGTACATGATTTCATGTAATCTTGTAGCTCTCTAAGACTGCTGTGTTATCATGCCAATTGTATGGGTGAGGACGTCGAGGCTTCGAGATTTAATTTACCCTTGTAACCCAGATTGTTAGACTCTAATGCTGATGCTTTGAGCCTTGCCTCTGCTTCTTTACAAACGCTTAAATCCATCTGATTGTCATCTTATCACTAACAGAAACATGGCTGAAATCAATTACAAGGGGCACTGTTAACTAAAAGCTTGTTCTTTATTTATAATAAATATTTCTCCTGTACAGATGGCAATCTGAATCCAACATTCTGGCACTGTCATACAGTAACTTGCCTGTTTCTAGCAGTTTTCATATTATTGAATTTTGCTCTTAGAACCATCCTATGAAGTACGGCCCCTCCCATTTTACGAATGAAAATCTAAGGCATGAGGAGATAAAATAATGTCCTGGGGTTGCAATCTAGATCTTGTTTTTAAAGTTCAGATTCTTTCTACTTAACTGTGCTACCTTAAGCTCTGAAGATAATTGTAGAGGGACCTTATGGAATAAAAACAGCTGGAGGCATCCTGTCCATAAGTGAACATGTTATAAATAAAAATAACCTTATCCTATTCATAAGCATCTCCATCAAAACCACCTCTGACAATGCCACCTTTGCTTATATTTGTTTGGGTATGAAGTTAGAAGCAAGAGGCTTCTTGGGAAATGAGGTTTTTTCTTCTAATTAATAATCAGTTTTTAAGAGTCTGCCTTCTTACATTTACTTAAATTTACTTCATTTCATTTTCACTGACATCACTCACTGGTTTATACCCTTGTTACTTCTTAACCAGACCACTGCAGTGTCTTTAACTTAAAGTCTGTCTTTAGCTTCTCCCTAAAACTCAGATTGTCCTAAAGGTTTCTCTTAAACTTCTAAAATCACAGCTCAATCACCTCATTTCCCTGCTTGCAACATTTGTAATAATCACTTGACTTTTTCCCTCTGCTGAATCCATAGCATTATCTGTACCTTTAACGTAATTCTACCTCATGTGTTTTTTTAAATTGGATTGTAAGGTTCCTTAGGGCTGGAATTATGATTCATCTTTTTATACAATGAAATACCTATGTGGGTTCTTGCAAAGCACTGTGCTGTCTGTTGTTAAATGACAGTTGTTGAATTCTTTGTTCCCTTTTAGCAGAAAAAAATGTGGTTTTTTTTTTAAAAACTACAGCCTATTATCCTTAAGCTATGGTTATAAAAGGTATATCTTCTTCCTGTCTTAGCCCTGATCCTGATCCAGACCTCCCCTTCATTAAGGGGCTTGGGTAGATGAAAGAAAAGAAGGCTTGGAATATCTCCTTCACTGAGACAAGAGGCCATCTTCCAATTTATATTCTTCCATCTTTTAGCATGATTGTATATGTATCTGTCTTCTTACCTTTACATATACAGGGTGAGTACCTCTAATCTGAAGTGCTCCAAAATCTGAGACTTTTTTTTTTTTTTTGAGACAGAGTTTTGCTCTTGTTGCCCAGGCTGGAGTGCAATGGTGTGATCCCAGCTCACCACAACCTCTGCCTCCCAGGTTCAAGTGATTCTCCTGCCTCAGCCTCCCAAGTAGCTAGGATTAGAGGCATGTGCCACCATGCGTGGCTAATTTTTTTATATTTTTAGTAGAGATGGGGTTTCTCCATGTTGGTCAGACTGGTCTCGAACTCTCGACCTCAGATGATCTGCAGAAAATTCCACACATAAGTACTTAAACTTTTATTTATGCACAAAATTATTTACAGTATTGTATAAAATTACCTTCAGGATATGTGTATAAGGTGTATATGAAACATAAGTGAATTTCATGTTTAGACTTGGGTTCCATTCCCAAGATATTTAATTATATATATGCAAATACTCCAAAATCTGAAATACTTCTGTCCCAAGTATTTGGTAAAGGAGATGCTCAGCCTGTAATCTTAGGGAAAGTTAATCACTAAATCTGTTTTGTGACTATACACTTCTTTTTACTTCCTCTAAATCACCCATTATGTACCAAGGGATTTCAGTGCTAGAAAAAGATGGGCCATTTCCTACCCTTGGACCTTTCAGTCTAATAAGGGGGACTCGCTAGCTCACTGGAAATTACAGTGCTCAGAGATAAATGCTGCCACAGGGAAATTTACAAAGGAGGATATCCAACTTAGACCAGGAGGGGTCAGGGAAGGGTTTTCCAAAGCAGTGACTTCTAACTTCAGGCTGAAGATGAGGAGTGGGCTATGATTAGAGGGGAAAGACTTGCAGTCAGAGAGAGGAGCACTTGCATAAGTCTAGGAATGATTCTAGCAGGTGGAATGTGAAGTTTGGTGGTGGTGTGAGGCTGGAGAGGAGGTGGAATGGTAGCACTATCTCTTCCATTGAAGTGCACATATTTAATTTGCCTTGAGCCCCTCATGCACAGTCACTGCTTTCACTCCTTTATACCGCTGCTGAGAAATCTTTTAGGGCTCCTTTATTACTTCCTGCAGTGTCTAATCACTTTTACTGACTTCTTTTACTGACTTTATAGACTCCCTAAAACAGCCTGTGTCCCACTACTAACTCACTCATCTCCTGCCAGAGCCAGAGAAATCTCTTTACTGTCTCTAGAGTTCATCTAGTTCATTCTTTCCTCTATGTCATCTCCCTTTACCCATCTTCTAAGCCTTTACTGACTCCCTACTTCTGGATATTTGCAGTTAGGGGTGTATAATTTAATACAAAATTACATGTTGCCTAGAATTGTTCTCTGATTGTTTCTGAGTATTTTATTATCAACTGGATTGTAAGCTCCCTAAGAGCTGGCTCTGAAGCTGCATTGTAAACTGTTGAGTAGTGGAAAGAAAAGGGAACCGGACCTGAAGTCAGAGCAGACCTGCATTTGACTTGTAGCTCTGCCACTTGTCAGTTGTATGACATTTCTTCTTGGGTAATACAGGAATAATGAAATACATCTTAAAAGGTTGATGTAAAAAATTGTGCAAGTCACTCTGTGGGAAATTAATTTGTAGACCATAAAACCCTATATACATTTTACATTTTATTCTGTAGTGCCAATGTGGAACCATATTCATTTCTTAATGTAAGATTTTAATGTTTCCTTTCCAGACTGTAGAATCTTGAAGATTCCAGACTTATTTTTTCCTTTGTGACATATTTTTCTCTAAGCCACATCCTAGCTATTTTTATTCTTCCTCTGTTTCACCTATTCCCACCCAATCCTTAAACTTATGGATAAAATAACTTTAGGCAGCTGAGAATAGAATCTTTTGATATTCTTGCATTTCTTTTTTGAGACGGAGTCTCGCCCTGTTGCCCTGGTTGAATTACAGTGGCTCACCCTCAGCTCACTGCAACCTCCGCCTTCCAGGTTTAAGTGATTCTCCTGCCTCAGCCTCCTGAGTAGCTGGAATTACAGGCGTGTGCCACCACACCAGGCTAATTTAGTGTTTTTAGTAGAGGCGGGAGTTTCACCACGTTGGCCAGGCTGGTCTCAAACTCCTGACCTCACGATCCAGCTGCCTTGGCTTCCCAAAGTGCTGGGACTACAGGAGCAAGCCACCACACCAGGCCATTCTTTTCTAGAACCCATTCTTTTGATTATTTATTGTCATATCTGTCCTTAGACCAGATTCTTAGATCAAGGGATCCTAGCAATAGCTTTCTTGTTAGGTACTAAAGTGTTGATTCTGAGGTTCAGAACTAGGGATCTTGCTTATGCTAACGCAGTACCAGAGAGTGGAGAATCAGAGAAAACAGAGAATCAGAGGAAACAGACACATGTATCTAAGACCCAAGTATCTGGAATAGCTATGGCCAAGTTAAAAGGCTATTTTATTTTTACCTGCCACTTACATTGGGTGCAGAGATACCTAATGTTTTGAGTGTTGGGTACCTTAATATCTAAATCCTTATGTTGTATGTCACCTTAATAATATCTACAAACCTTACTGAGGGGTTCTAAGAGCTTGAAGGAGCTCAGCAAAATAGAATGTAACTAGATACAAACTTACATAGAAAAATAACTTGAAGATTTCTTTCCTCACCAGGAAAAACAGCAGCTGGGTGTGATGGCTTTCACCTATAATCCCAGCACTTTGGGTGGCCAAGGTGGGAAGATCACTTGAGGCAAGGAGATAAAGACCAGCTTGAACAATATAGCAAGACCCTGTCTCTACAAAAATAAAAAAATAGCTGGGTGTGGTAGTATGCATCTGTAACACCAGCTACTTGGGAAGCCAAGACAGGAGGATAGCTTGAGCCCCAAGCTCAAGACTGCAGTGAGATATGATCGTGCCACTGCACTCCAGCCTAGGTGACAGAGCAAGAACCCATCTTAAAGAAAATAAAAGAGAAACAGAGTAGACAAATCTTGTTATTGGAGGAAAGGAATGGATTGAGGACGGAGAGGTGGTAGGAAGTGGCAACACCTGAAATTCAATATTCACAGCATCTTAAGCAATAATTCACTCAAGAAAAAGATTTAATAAAGCAAAATCATTCCTGCTTTTCATAAGAATTTGTTCTGAATAGTACAGTTGTCATAAATCAAGTGCATTTAGTCTGGAGACCAACTTTTTGGTTCAATTACTGTGTTTTAACCCATGTTTTCTATTGTTCTTAAGAGTGTCCTTAGTCATCAGTGGCTAGGAAGAATCTTTCTGGGACACACAGCTCTGTGATGCTTAGAAATTGTAGGTCTTTGAAATTCTTTGTATAATTTAGAACCATTTCTCCTCTTTTAGTCTTTCATTTACTGCTTGCATTATTGTAAATCTCCCACAGTAAATAATTTCCTTAAGCAGAGAAGGTAGAAAAGTATCCGAAAACCATCTTCATACACTAAATCTGATTCAGAGTAGGCACGAAGCTATAATAATGTTAGACTTATGAAGTGAACAATTTAGACTAAATCTAAAAGACAGTTGATCTACATAAAGTTAATCTTCAAACCCAATTCAGAGATACCCTCTCTTCTGTCACCATTGTGTAATCCTATACCATTTTTTCATTTCTTCAGCTGCAGATTTATAGGAAAGTTTTGAGGGTTATTCTTTTCTGATACATATTAGGAGGCTCTCTAAAATGGTCTCTTTGTCCAGTGCATGGCTTTCATGACCCAGTCTTTGTTCTGTGCCAGTTCTGAGATTGGGGCAATTATTTGTAAGTAGTAGGTTATCTTTTGCTTCCATTTCTATGTGTTGCCTAGTCTTTCATGTAGCATCAACTAATAGTATTTTTAAGAGATGCTTTTTTATGACCCAAGGCCACTAAAAGTAGAACCATCTTGTTTAACCCTATCTTACCCTCCAGTATTGCCTGGAAGAAAGGCAGTGGTCTCTTAAAGAAAGACCACTTCTTTGCTGCATGGAGTTAATGTAGTAGAAAATCATCAGACGGTATTTAACATACATACATACAAATGCACCAGAAGACTTTAAGGTCACATTTGGTCCCTGTGATAACAACAACAACAACAGATTGGCCCCATTAGAGATAAAATTCTCATTTCCATTCTTCCCCTCTAAAAAGTTATCTGTAATGTAGAATTTTTAATAATTATTATGGGAAGATAGATACAACAGATATATTTAAAAAGTGAATGTCATCCACCCATAATCCCATTCACTGAAGAGAAACTTTAGCAGTTTTATTTTCAAATATCATAAAATTTATATAATCTATTACATTAAAACCTAAAGCTATAAAACTTTCAGAAGAAAACAGATGGAAAAAAAGTTTATAACCTGGAAGTAGGCAAAGGTCTTAGATAGAATACAAGCATGAGACATTAAAGAAAATATTGACAAATTAGATGATCATATCAAAATTAAAACATGATTTTCAAAAGACACTATTAGGAAAATGAAAAGGCAAGCCACAGACTGAAATAAAATTTATAACATGTATATCAAAGTACTTGTATTCAAAATATATAAAGAACACTTACAACACAAGAAAATAACGAACCCAATAAGAAATGGACATATGTCACAAAAAATATATATGTATATAAATGGCCAGTAAGCACATGAAAATATTTTCAGTATCAAAAGTTATCAAGGAAATGCAAATTAAAATCACAATGAGATATTACTACATCAGGCATCTTGGGCCAGATAATGCTTTGTTGTGGGAGGGGGAGCTGTCCTGTGCCTTGTAAAATATTTAGCAGCACCCCTGGTCCCTACCTGTTACATACCAGTAACACCCTCCCCCTCGCCAGTTGTGAAAATTGAAAATATATGCAGAAATTGTTCAAATGTCCATGGGAGACAAAAATCACCTCCTGTTGAGAGTGACTGCACTACACCCATTAGATTGACTAAAATGTTTTAAATTGATGGTGCTGAGTGTTGGTGAAAGTGTGTGTGTGTGTGTGTGTGTGTGTGTGTGTGTGTGATGGAGTCTCTTCCTGTCACCCAGGCTAGAGTGAGCTAAGTGGCACAATCTTGGCTCACTGCAACCTCCACCTCCCTGGTTCAAGCAATTCCCCTGCCTCAGCCTCCTGAGTAGCTGGGATTACAGGTACATGCTACCACGCCTGGCTAATTTTTTTGTATTTTTAGTAGTGATAGCATTTCACCATTTCTCAGACTGGTCTTGAACTCCTGACCTCAGGCAATCCGCCTGCCTCAGCCTCCCAAAGTGCTGGGATTATAGGCATGATCCACCGTGCCCAGCCAAGATGGCATTTTTTGTTTTTTAGACAGTCTTGTTTTGTCATCCAGGCTGGAGTGCAGTAGCACAATTTTGGCTCACTGCAACCTCCACCTCCTGGGTTCAAGTGATTCTTGTGCCTCAGCCTTCTGAGTAGTTGGGATTACAAGTGTGTGCCACCATGCCCAGCTAATCTTTGTATTTTTAGTAGAGACAGGGTTTTACTATGTTGGCCAGGCTGGTCTTGAACTCCTGGCCTCAAGTGATCCGCCCACCTTCACCTCCTGAAGTGCTAGGATTACAGGCATGAGCCACCATGCCTGGCCAAAGATGTCTTATACACTGATGGGTGAGAATATAAAATGGTACAACTACTTTGGAAAACAGTCTGGCAGTTACTTAAAAAGCTAAACCTACACCTATTATATGATTCAGCCATTCCACTCCAAGCCAAGGGAAATTAAAGCATATGTTCACACAAAGCTATTCAGAATTTGTACAAAATGTACTATTCTGGGTAGGTGAGAATTTTACCCATGAAGTGAAAATGTTAAGTACAAATACAAAGAACTTTTTCTTTGTTGACTGTTCTTTGGTCTTTTTCACACTTCCTTCTGAGATCATTTTGTTTCTTCCTGAACTGACAGTCCTTCAGTTGAGGATCTGTTGGTGGTAGATTCTTAGTTTTTGTTTCTTAAAATGTGCTTCTTTCACTCACTTTATGAAAGATGGTTTTATGTGTTATACAATTCAAAAATGATCATTTTTCTCAGTAGTTTGATCTTCTGGCTTTCATTCTTCAAAATTAGGCTGTCAGCTTAGTTTTCCCTTTGTAGGTAATCTGACTTCCCTTTCGTGTACTTTAAGATCTCTTTCCTTGAAATTTTTCAGTTTTACTGTAGGCCAACGTATAATTTTTTTCAGTTATTCTGCATGAGATTCATTGTGTTTCCTGAAGAAAAAAATGAGTATTCGTGTCTTTAATCTATTCTGGATAATCCTTAACCATCATGTGTTAGAATATTGCCTTTGTCCTATTCTTTCTGTTTTCTCCTTCCAATTAGATATGTATTAGACCTTTTATTTCATCTTCCTTGTCTTTTATTTTCTCTTTCATAATTTTCATTTATTTGCTGTATATGCTATATTCTGGACTCTTCAGGTTTACTTTCTGTTTACTAATATTTTTCAGTTATACTGAATATGCTGCTTATCTATTGAATTTTAAGTTTCAATCATTGTAAAAACGATTTCATTGATTTTCAAATCTGTTTGGTTATTTTTTGATAGTTTCTGGTTTCTCACCCATACTTTCTGTTTCCTTTAAAGTTTTTAAAAAGCATATTGAACTAGTCTTCTATATCTAATAACTCTACTATCCAAAAATCTTTGAGATGATTTCTGGCAGTCAGACTGCATCTGACTTTGCAATCTTAGGTGATTATTGTTTCCTCTAATCCTCACTAATGGTATCATTTTGCATAGTACTTTTTATTATTGTAAGTTTATGTTCATTGGAATTATGTCTCCTTCAGAGAAAATCTATATTTCTAACTGGAACCTGGGGGACATAACCAGTCCACTTTATACTAAACATTTGCCTTACTTTTAAGAGCAGGTAGGTAATAAGGAAATTCATCCCCCAGCTCCTCATGTGTGATCCACCTTGTATTTATGAATATTCAGGGGAGATTTTACCCCTTCCACTAAGAATACACATTGAAACAGGCAAATTTTCTGTCGTCTTTTGTCAATGGGGTGTTTTTTCTTGTTCATGCTTTCATTGAGAGTTTAGCCCCTTGGGGTTTGGCTTTCTGATGGGGTCTCTGATCTACCTCCCAATGTCCCAAGTCCTAGGATTTGCCTTCTGTTTTCTGTGCTGCTACTCTAGGTACCTGGGGATCTACAGCTGCCAGCCTCAGTGCTTACTGTCTCCCTGGACTCCTCATGTTGGTGGGTTTTGGTTTCTGAGGATTTCTATTACTTTGTCAGTTCAGCCATTTTAAACAATATTTCTTACACACAGGTGTCCAATTTACAATGGTTCCACTTAACAATTGTTTGACTTTACTAAGGTGTGAAAGCAACACACGTTCAGTAGAAAAATGCTATGGAAAGTAGTACGATACTCACAATGGTGGGCAGTGGCGGCAAGTGACAGTTTTCAGTCAGCCACATAATCACAAAGGTAGACAACCAATACTCTACCACATTGCCAGATGACTTTGCCCAACTGTGGGCCAATGTCAGCATTCTGAGCACATTTACTATAGTCTAGGCTAGACTATAATATAGGAAGATTAGGTATGTTAAATGCATTTTTTACTTATGGTATTTTCAACTTATTGAATCATAACCCCATTGTAAGTTGAAAAGCATCTATAGAAATATTTTTAGGTATTTTATCCAACATGAGTAAGAATCACTAATATGGAGGTCAATTTTTAACCTAATCTGGGAGAGGGCAGTGCTCTTAGGGCTTTTTAAGGCATATAGGACCATTGCCCTTATAGAAGATGGCTTCCTGCTACCGTGCTATCCAAATTCTTGCTTCTGCTTTATAGAATTTTTCTGATTCTTCCTTTGTGATTAAGTGCCTCACTGTTCCATTTTTCTCTGCTATCAGTTTAATGGTAGTGCCTATACCCTAATAAATTACCGTGGACTTGGAAACTAGATAAAGAAGCTTGTTCTGATTTTGTACCAAGTAAAAGTAAATTGTCTCTAAGAGAGGCACTGAAGGGTTTTCCACTGAAAGAACATATGCTGTGGTATATAAACTTTGTGACAATTATTTCACATCTTTTTTTTTTTACTTGTTCTAGATTCATGAGATTGTTTTTTAAAAAGTCAATTCAGATATAACGAAATGTTGCTATATCAATAGTCAACATCTATTTTGGCAAAAATTACTGATTTTCAAATGTGTCGGAAAAGATTTTAAGGGTGTATGTGTGTGTGATCTTTGAATTTAACTCTACAAAAAAGGTCACTCATTCTTTGAGTAGGCAGTAACATATTTACCCACTAAGAACAATCTACAATATTCTCTTAATGCTTTAAATTTATAACAGTGACTTTAATAATGATTATTTGACAATGTAAGTGTTCATTTATGATTTTATATTTTTCCTTTTACATAAAATACTACATTTGGTTTATGCTAAATGGAATACAATGAAATATGGGGGAAAGTATACGTCTATACACTTTCTTATAGCATCCTACAATGTTGTTAGCAAAACCTCTTTGTTTTAAAGTACATGATGGGCTGGGCAAGAAGACTCACACCTGTAATCCCAACGCTTTTGGAGGCTAAGGCAGGAGTTCACTTGAGCCCACATAGCCTGGGCAACATAACGAAACCCCATCTGTACAAAAATGTCAAAATATTAAGACAGGCATGGTGGCATGCCTGTAGTCCTACCTACCCAGGAGACTGAGTGGGAGAAACACTTGAGCCCAAGAGTTTGAAGTTGCATGAGCCGTGATCACCCCATTACAGCCTGGATAACAGAGCAATACCCTATCTCTAAAAAATAAAGTGTCTCCTAAAATGGTGGGTGAAGGAGATTATTAATGATAACGACAAAGCAAACTGTTCTAGTTTAATTTCTTTTTTAGGGAACTAAAACTATCAGCTGGTTTAAGTAGTATTTGAAGAGAAAAGAAAAGGTTGTTCATGAAGATATTCACAGGAAATACAGGAAACTGCTTTAGAATATAAATTTGGCAAGCTGAAACAAAATGAAGAAAACTGTCAGCTATTTCACAGTGTGTGTGTGTTTTTTTTTTTGTTTTTTTTTTTTTTGGTCTATATTGCAGGTAATACTCTGTCAGTTTGAGCAAACCTGAGGTCTGTGCTAAATATAACAGTCATGAAATCTGTAAAATCTCTTAAAAATCCCCTCTAAATCCTCTGAAAACCTTCTTCTCTCAAAGAAGAAGGATATGTAATGAGTGATAGAAATCAAGAGGAAAAATTGTATAGAATTGCACTGTGCAATTTGTTCAGTTTGCTTTATCCTGTGTTTGTTTTAGAAGTTGTATTTGTGCATAGTGGTTATTACAAGTATTTTATATTTTTGGATTTGGACTGTAGCATTTTATTGTCAGGATTTCTCCCCCTATGTATTTTGGAAATTGGATGCTAGAGAATTTAAAAAGAGAATAATAATTTTTAATAGTTATTTCTACTTTATTTTCTACCACAGCAAGAAAGAACATTTCCTATAAAATTCCTGGTTTTTTACTAAAAATACACTATTATTTTAATGGTAACTTGATGTATACAGTATATGGCATAATAAAGATGAAAAAAAAATCACTACAATACTAAAATGTGATCTGTTTTGCCACGGCTTGGTGAGGAGATTTTATCAGTTACCTTTAACCTAGGACAATATATCCTGTTTTATAATTTGTTGTTTTCTCTTGTGACACTATATAACTTTTTTTAAAAACTGGAGCTTAGGCCTCATTGGTATCTGGAGCAGTTGAGCCCTTACCTGTTTGTCTGCTTTGTGATTGGCTAAAAGCTGTTGCTAAGCTTGTGTTTTTGTTCTTAGGGAAAGTTAAAAGTTGAGTGTGACCTATTTGAACTGCATCCTGCTGCTTTTGACTCTGCTTTGCTCTTTCCCCTGATCCATATACTTTTTTCTGGCATCTTTTGAAGTTTCGATTTTTAAAAACCCACTTATGTATAATTTAGTGTGCAATATTTGAAGATTGTAACATTTTTAATGTGCATTTATGATATACAAACTAAAGTAGTTTAATTTAAAAAATCTGGTCGAATACTTGAAAGTTGAATTTCTTGACATAAAGCAAGTTCTAATTTTAGAAAGCAAATGCATTATTTTAAAACCTGCCTATTATAAGTATTATAAATTATCTGGATATCAATAATATCTTTGTTAATAGGAACAAATCCAAACTACAATTTTTTTTTTTCAATTGAAATGTAACATGAAAATAGTTACTAGGTCAAAATTTTAAGATTTAGGATAAAGGCTATTCTTGCTCATACTGGCATGTGTGTCACTAAAGGATAAGAGTGACTATATTTTCTTGAGGAGGGCTGAAAGGATTGATAATGCTTTCAGTTATAGACCAGACCCAGGAGAAGCTAAATGAAAGTGCTATTGTAAAAGTAAGTTTGTTCTGTAATTCAGTAGACAAACATTAACTGTTTTAGTCCCAAGAGCTTTTTCTCTTTAAGGATCTATTTGGCATTGATGGGAATAAGACTTTCAACTAGATTCCCCCAGCACTCTGCTGGAACCAGTAGAAATAATTGGAGCATTCTATGAACCTTAAAGCCTGACCCAAGTCTTGAGTGACTGATGTAGAGAGCTATAGACTAGCTTGGATCCTCCAAACAGAATTTGAGTTCCAGGATACAGATCATGAGATGTGGGGTGTGTGTATGTGTGTGTATAAAACAATGATATTCAAATGTGTTTTAATTTCTTTGTCAGCATAGTCTTTAATAAAACAATATTACCAGAATTCTGATATATATAGTATCTAAAACTGTAAAAGTATTTTATCAATAAATTATTTAAGTTCAACTAAATAAAGTTAAATTCATTATCAAATCAATTAGTGAAAACAGTGGGGCTTTTTATATTTTCAGAAAATTTGAAATTAAGGTGT